TGGATGCCCTTCCAGCTGCAACCCATCAATGGGAAACAACCATACACACTTATTCACACACATACACTTTGGACAATTTTAGCTTACCCAATTCACCTGTACCACATGTCTTTGGACTGTGGGGAAACCGGAAACCGGAGCACCCGTAGGAAACCCACGAGAACGCAGGGAGAACATACACACTCCACACCGAAATGCCAACTGACCCAGCCGAGGCTCGAACCAGTGACCTTCTTGCTGTGAGGCGACAGCACTACCTACTGCACCGCCGTGTCGCTCAAAATAATATAATGTATAGGAAATCATATATATAGAAATAAGTCTTTGAAATAACAAAACATGTACTGCAGTTTATTACAAAATTTTTGTATCATAAGTTACAACACCAACCCAGACAAAATATCACTTTAAACTATTAAAAATGTTAATAAAAGTCAAAAAACATCAAATCACAAAATACATACAGCTGATAATTTACAGATATTTTTTTTTACACATTTCTCTTTTGTTTGATTGACTTTACTCGACTTTAAGCACTGAATGGTGAACTGACAACTGAATTTAGCTGCAGTGTGAGCAATGCTATTGTGAACTCAAACATAGCATTTATACCCCCGGATGTGAAGTTTGCCATGTAATTTGCAGCCGGCACTGTGCTGCAAATGAATTTGAGATGCCACGTATTTCAAAGTTGACTTATTTTGCTCTAAAAGACTTTGTGGGATTTTAGACTTTGCTAAGCTTAAATTTGTGGGTCTTACTTTAACTACTAATGTACTGTATACATAGAATTATCACAGTGACAAGAATTTTGAGGTTTCCGTGTATAGCCTTTGCAGGAGGCAAACAGAAATTGCTTGCAGATCCGATACAGCAGGGTTCCCAAACTTTTCAGCCCGCGACCCCCAAAATAATAATTTCAGTGACTTGCGACCCCCAATTTTCAAGGGGGTTATACTGTATATAAACAAACATTGCACATACAACTTTAGGCATATGTAAACATGAGCATATTGACAACACAAAATGCAACAGTCTAATAATCGTTGTTTTTTATAGTCATTTATTAATTTAATTTAATTTTACTATTAACTATCTTCTGTGGGTTATGAATAAAATATGGTAATTCTAATAATTTAATACAATTCATTTGAGTTTTGGAAATCACTAAGCGACCCGTTGTCATCGACCCGCAACCCCCCAAAGGGTCAACAAAATGTAAAAATACAGAATTACACTGTAAAAAATATCTGTTAATTAATGATGATGTTGTCAATTCAACTCTAAAGTTGAACAAAGTGACTTTTAGTGAAGTTTTTAAACTAATTTTGAGAGCAGCAGCTGCAGCTGGTCACCTATCTACACTCATTAGTTAGCCAATCAGATCTATCCTAACTCACTATAAGTAGCCTAGCTAGATATTACTCCCTTATCTTCGTTTTCCGAAGAAACCCCCATCCACCCACTTTCTCCTCCTTTTCTCCTTTACAAAAAAGGGGAGCTCTCGAGAACCACCTGATCTCGTTCTCCCCTCACATGCTCTATGGACCTGGTGGGAGCCCTGGGCTCAACTATCTCCAAGCTCAGGGTTCTCTCCCGGGACAGCATGCCAAACCTGCTTACAGTTGTCAAGCAATATCTAAGTGTGAACTCTTGAATTGACATTTCAGTAGTTTGAAATAATATAATGTATAAGAAATAATATATAGAGGGAAATAAGTCTGTAAAATAACAGAAAATGTAGTGACAGTTTACTACAAGATTTTTGTACCATAATATCTAACATTAACCCAGACAATTTGTCACTTAAAAATATTAAAAAGGTCTTTTTTTTTACTTTTCCAGGTTACAGATTGTTGAAAGAAATGCCAAAGTCCTGTAATGCAATTCAAAAGCATAAATAAATGGTAAAAATTTGGAAAACTGCAAATTTATGAATATTTATACCACTGTAATGTTTAGGAAAACTTGTGAACATTACATTATATAACAGTAAAATGCAATTGTGGTGCTGTATGTACAGAATAATGTCAAATTAAGCCACATGATCAAGATTAAGTAAACGGTAATTATAGTCTCAAAAAAAAAAGGTTTTCTTATCACACACCCCATCAAATAAGACAATTTCAGTGAAAACCCAGCAATCATATGAGTTACAGTCTGATACTGAGGAAACAAAGGGTCAGTTCCTGCGATTCCTTCAGTTGGCTAATAGATTACATCATGGCGTCCTGCTGTTCTGTGAATGGTCACATTGAAGCCTGTATAAGTAGCCTGGATCTCGCTATTGAACTAGAATGACATCAATATTCACTGGACCATAGAGCACTCTTTGTGTCTTTAGCGACTACAAGATTGATTCTTTCTCTCTTCCTCACTTTCTTTTCTTCAGTTTCTCGAGTCTTCAAAGGCATTCAAATACTCCCTGCTGTTGGAGGAAAGCGGTACATATTATCCATAAAGACTGCTTAAAGTGTGTATTACTGCACAAAGCCTGCGCAATGAAAAATGTACGTGGGTGCAAGACCTGATAACAGGAGCAATGCGTTTTGGCAAAGATAATGTGTGCACCCTCTACTGGAGGTTTTCAAAGTCACTTAATTTAAGATTGCATAAAGACTTGATAGACATTGGTGCCTTATCACCATCGGTAATATTAAGCTTTTGTATTGTTTTAGTAACATCTATAGTTGAACTCAGAATTATAAGCCCCCTTTAATTCTTTTTAATTCTTTCTTTATTTAATTGAATTATTGGTTAATTAGGTTAACTAGGCATGATAGGGTAATTAGGCAAGTTATTGTATAACAATGGTTTGTTCTGTAGACTATTAAAAAAAAATAACTTAAAGGGGCTAAACATTTTGACTTAAAAAAAATGGCTTTTATAAAATTAAAAACTGCTTTTATTCTTGCTGAAATAAGACAAATAAGACTTTCTCCAGAAGAAAAAATATTATCAGACATACTGTGAATTTTTTTTTTTCTCTGTTAAACATAATTTGGAAAAAATTTAAAAAGAAAACAAATTGAAGGGGGGCTAATAATTCTGACTTTGACTGTACATCTATAATAGAATCGGGTCAATTCTGTTCAGTCTGACACATTTTGTTCAAGTCCTAATTTGTGAAAATGTGTAAAAACGCATGCATTTTGTGATGTAACAAATCCACTGATCACCAGATGTCTACAATAATGAGATCTGCATACTGACAAACGACTCCTTTTAAATCTTCACTCGCTTGTCTGAGTTTTTTTTTTAGCACATTTTAAATTCACACAGCTATATTTGTGATGTGATTCATTAACTGCTGTTAACCCCACAGCTTATTAAGTCTGAGACATTGGTAATTATTTACTCAATGGACATGCCTTGCGGTCTGATGTTAAGAGCTGTATTTAAAGCTGCAGAAAACTGACTTTAATATCTATGTGTGGAAAAGAGCTTTACTCGAATGCATTTATTTTCACTGTTAAAAAATCTTGTTAAAATGATGGTTTAGCTGTGGTTGGCATAAAATGCTACGGTGACCAAGCTCAATTCAATTTTTGATGGCATTTGTTGCTGATATATTTTACAGGCCATAATCATATGCCATAAACTGCATATTGGAATAAGTTCATATAGCAGATATATTTAATATTCTTTGAACTTTGTGATATACAACTCAAAAACCCAATAATAATACAGGTGATAATAAGGGTGGACTTTGAATCACATGATGAATCAAAGTTCATTCTGAGTGGCTCATCATTGTAAATGGGGTTTTCTGACTTTAAGATGCCACAGATTCACAAATATGAAGTATCTTTGATAAATTTATAAATGGTATTTCTATTATAAATCTTTATTTATTTGTTTGTTTTAATGCAGTCTTTAGTTTTTTCAATTTCAGTAAAACTATGCATAAGTAATTAATTAGAATTTAATTAAATAAAGTTGTAGATTACTGCCAATTTTAATCTAAATTAATGCGCTTTAATCTAATTGTTAACTATTTTAATTGTTGGCTATTTTATTTATAACATTGTTTTATTTTTACTAATAAAGTGAATAATAATAATAATAATAATAATAATAATAATAATTTTCATTTTTTTATAATTTATTTCTAATCAATTATTTTAATCTATTTATTTATGTTTGTAATTTATTTATCTTTAAATGTCATTTATTATATATTTTTTATAAATTAATTACAATTATTTTAATTGTTAGAATAATAATAATATTGATAATAAATATATAGATTATTTGTTTTAATTAATTATTTTTAATCATTGATTTTAATCTATTTATTTATCTTTGTAATTTGTTTATCTCTGAATTTAATTTAATAATTGTATTTATGATTAACAAATTAATTACAATTACTATAATTGCTAGAATAATAATAATAATATTGATAATAAATATAATGTTTATTCTTTTTAATCAATTATTTGTAATAAATTATTTTAATCTATTTATGTTTTTACTTTATTTATCTCTGAATCTCATTTAATAATTTTTCTTATTTTTAATAAATTGATAAATAATGGAATTATTAGAATACTTAAAATCTATTTTTATTTAATTGTTAGTTTCGTTATGGTTATATACAAATGAGCATACCTTACATATTAGTAGTATATTAAATATAATCTATTTTTTAAAATAAGTTACTCATTTGGATTGAAATAATTTGGACTTTCTACATTTTTGTTCCTTCAAACAACCCTTTCTCCTTGTAATGCAGCATACATATGAAATATGAATTTAAAAATCTTGATAATAAGGATCATACTTATTAAAATGGTCAAATTTCAACAAATGCCACCAAAAACCAATTTAGATTTACTAAACAAACATAAAGTAACATAAAGAGCACCCCGAAACATTATCATTCAAAATCTGTTTATCAGGTTTACAAAGAATAGAGTGATTAAAACATTTTCCACGCATTTTATAATAAGCGTAATAGAGGGTTAAGTCCAACCGGCTTGTGTGTGTGTGTGTATACATACATCCCCAGGAGGAGGGGTTCTGCGCATGCGCACTGGAGCCACTAACCACACGCGGCTCAATCACGACATTTATTTCGGCGTCCACTATGCATCATCTCAACACTCTCGCTGTACGGACGTCCAAACACAGTCGAGCTTACTGTAAACACCGTGAACGCGCCGTCCACGATTCTCCCAGCAAATAACATGGGTTAAGAAGAGGATGTCTGGATAATTCATTTCAACTCTTTGCAAGGATGGGGACTCGGATACTGTTTTCTGGCAGATGCGTTTTGAAAAGAGATCTCAAAGAAGGGTTTTAATATACACCTTCCACTCTTTCGTTTCCCTTTCCTTCTTTTCTTTTTTGAGAGATGATCGCAGAGTTGGTGTGCAGCGCCGTGGCACTGCTCCTGTATGTCAACACACTGGACGCCGATTTCTGCTACGATGACAGGTATGTTTAGCCTTCAATGAATCCGATACATCCGATCCGCGCCGAGAGTTCGGCGGTTTCGTAGCAACCGGAGAATGTTGAGTCGAACGTAGTAGCGGCGGCTTTTGTTCTTTTGATACTGTTACATGTTGCGACAGCGCGGGGAATGGCGGCGCAAGCGTGACAACTGTCAGCGGATAAACACGGGCGCTCGTGCAACTTTCGAACGTGTAGTTGTTGAGCGTTTGTTGTTGTTTTTGGGATGCGCTTGCAACCTGTACGGTCTGTTTATGAGGGAGAGCTATGACGCCTAAGAATATCACACTTCATTTATACCAGGGGAATTGTCAGCTCGCGGGAACTGAAGGTGTCGGAGCTTGGTTATTTATGATAGGAGTGGTGTTTATGAGTGATGTTTTGGAATATGAATTATGTTTATAAGCGTTTTAGTACTTTTAAGATAGGTTTGGATTCTTTGCGCATACATTTGCTGCACTCAGCAGTTTGTTGCCAAGTTGGTGATATCATTTCAGTCTATTTTTTTACACACCAATTGAGAAATAATGTGATAACAGCCTTTGTGGCTTTTCAAATACTTGAAAATCCTTTTTTTATTTACAGCTGGCATCTGTATGTGTGATGCAGAACTGGTATCTGATGCGTAAAACAAATAGTTGGCGGTTCATTCTGCTGTGGCGACCTCTAAAATAGAGACCAAGTCGAAGGAGAATGAATGAATGAATGTTTACTGAAACAAATTGTGTTAAATTCAAATTCTCATATCAGACATTGTTACAAGCATTCTGGTGATGCTTGCGTGGCGTTCAAAATGACTGGCCTTTTTAAAAGCAGTGATTAGACTCTTACAGAAGTTTAAACGTTCAAATGTAAATAGAAAGTTTGTTGCAAGGATATTTGCAATAAACAAATGTGGTCCGTACGTTACATGAAATTAACATGTTTTACTATGAGAAAATCAAAGCTATACGTCTATAAAACCTCAGATTCATATCTAAAGGGGAAAAAAGCCTTTTTTGAGTGCACATGCTCGCTAGATTAAATTTATGTAGTTTATTTCCACATTGAGGTAAAGTTGGTTTTATATTCACACATTCAAACTTTCTCCTTAATAATATAATTTCACAGAAATAGTCGAATTTGCAAATTCAAAATGGTGAAATCATAATAGCAGCTATCAAAGTACTATATTGTTCACAACTAGTCAAAAAAATAGTGGTTTCAGACTGAGTATTAAAAGTACCATGGTAAACAATATAGGTAGCATGTCACAAGATGTCACTGAACAAATGTGCAAATATAAAACCAAGTTTGCCTCAATCATTTCCTCCTGGATGAGATTTTTTTTGTGTAGCTGTTGATGTAAAAATACACTAATACAGAGTTTTGCTGATGAAGTAAAATATACTATAAAGAAAAAAAAAAAAGATAAAGGAGCACCAGATGCTTAAGTACAGTTTTTAGTTCATTTCAGATCAGACATTGTTATGCACGTAATATGTGGTTCAGTAAAAGAGTCAGATTAAGTCAGGAGCCACCCTGACTGATTCGTTTACAATTCTTCAAAAACAACTGACTCATTATACAGTAAGCTGGTGAATCGTACTGCACTGGCCGCTCGGTCTGTTTCTGTTTAGCTGAAATAAACCAGCTCATAAGAGCAATTCCTTAGGGAATTGAGCTGCTCTTGTGTCTTTTTGATTCGCTACTTAAGGTGAAATCAGTTGTTAGTTTATCTGACTATACCAGTCGCACTACATGTTCCTGATCCAGTCGTGAACTTGATTGTCATAAAAGAAATCATGAATCTTTGTTCTCATCCTACTCTTAGAATGGGGTTTATGCACACGGACTTAATTTCAGTCAGTCAGCCAACGGTCTTCCAGTTAATTGTCATCCCATACAAAATTGCCACGTTTAAGATCTGATTTCTTAAAAAAAAAAAAACTGTGATCTTCACTGCCTGGCTCAGATACAGCCTAAAGTTTCAGACCAAACAAGAAGCACTTCATTAAATTATATTTTTCAACGCCATGTCCTTAAAACATGAAAATTAATTTTACCCCTGTATTTTCAATGAAATTTCTGCACTTGTCTGCTGCTAATGACAGTGACTACATTTAAACAGTATTTCATCCCTTTTTTTTGCTTGAACAACCAAATATTGGATGCTTGAGTCTCTTTAACAGGTTACATTTGAATTACATTTCAATGTTGTTGCTGTAAAAGGAACCTTATGAAAATTGTCACATTAAACTTTCATCAGACCTTAGTCATTGGCTGAAAAACACTAGCTGTGCATATAGTCCATTGAAAGGGAGATTTTGCAGCAAATAATCATCCAGTGGGCACTTCTTGAATCATTTCTGATTTGAGTAACATTTTAAAGTTCATTTCGGCGGTAAGGTTTCATGAATGCTGAAGGCTCTTCATAAAAAAGTCATTAGGACCTTTATTTTTAAGATGGTACTAATATTAAATACATGCTATAAAACAAAGTTTTCAACACTTGCTCCTGCCACTTATTTGTAATGCATGGAAAAGCTAAATGTCCATCAACTCTCTCACAGGGAGAACGGTAGCTTTTCACAATCTTTTTTTCCTCCTTGCACCCCATGAGGATGACAAATTTATTTTCCTAAGTGGCGTTAGGGCATGTTATAATAACATTAAAGAAACCTAGAGCTGCATGACAGTTACGCATGGTTGAGAAGCAATAATCTAAAGAGAGAGCGAGCGATGAACGTGTCCACTGTCACCAATGAAATGAATGTGTGTCTGGGGGCTGGTTTCCTAAATGTACAGTGACTAATTTATTTCATTAGACACCTACTGACTTCTTATGGTATGAGAACTATAAAAGGCTGCTTTTTTTTTTTTTTGATGGATTTGACTATCTCAGAAATTTGTGGAATTTATAAAATGAGGTTTTGTTAATTTTCTTAGGTTGTCAAGACATGCACTTCTCTTTTATTTTCCTTATAGCTCAGCTATTAGAGCAAGTACAGGTCCTCTGGGCAAAGCACCAGTTACAACACATACTGTAGCATAAAAATAATCTACTGTATTTATATTGTCACCCATATTGTGGTTCTCAATGTCTGCATTAAAAGATCCAAAAATTTTTATTAAGGTCAAATGTCTGGAACAACTGATATTACATAACTTGTTTTTAATAAACCTCCATAACATGCATCATAAGTGAACACTATTTCTTTTCTTTAAATAAAGTAGCATTTGCATTCAAACACATTAAATACAAAGCAAATGTGGCAAAACAAACTAAAATAAGTGCATTTTTGTACAAAACACAACAAAAGGTAGGCAAACAGCATCTGGATGCAGTCATGATGATGCAAGCTGAGATTGCATATTTCAGAGATGCAGTGTCAGACACAATGAACTCAATAGAGCGAGTGATGTCAGGGGTAGGGTTAGGTGTCCAAAAAGCATTGCATGCAACTTAGATTGCCACTGCACCAGGTCTGCATTCAGACCCCTCCCCCCAAAAAAAAGAAAAATACAAAAGATGTCTATGAAAACTTTAGTTTTGGGGTCCTTATTTCTGTATTTTGTGGATACTGCCAATCAAAATGTCTTTGTTTCATGTCATGGTGGCGTTTCACATTTCCACTCTTTACAACTCCGATTGTCTCCTTACAAATCAAGCAGAATGGCTTTGTACTGGCTTGTGGCAAAATAAACTCATACTCAGGGGGAATTATTTGCCCCCTTTGAATTTTATTTTTTTTTTTAAATATTTCCCAAATTATGTTTAACAGAGCAAGGAAATTTTCACAGTATGTCTAATAATACTTTTTCTTGTGGAGAAAGTCTTATTTGTTTTATTTCAGCTAGAATAAAAGCAGTTTTTAAAAACCATTTTAAAGTTAAAATGATTAACCCCTTCAAGCTAAGTTTTTTCCGATAGTCTGTACAAACCATCATTATACAGTAACTTGCCTAATTAATTACCTATCTAATTACTAATTACCTACTATCCTGCCTAGTTAACCTAATTAATTTAGTTTTAAATTAAATGTCACTTTAAGCTGTGTAGAAGTGTCTAAAAAATATATAGTAAAATATTATGTACTATCACGATGTGAAGATAAAATAAATCATTAGTAGAAATGAGTTATTAAAACTATTGTTCAAAAATGTGTTGAACATTTTTTTTTTCTGTTAAACAGAAATTGGGGGAAAAATAAACAGGGCGGGGGGCAAATAATTCTGACTTAAACTCTATCTGTCCAATTAACGTTGAAGTGTCAAGTTTTCTTTACTGTGTAGACCAACATCTTCATCCATTCAAACAATCGTTCTATTGTTATGCATTAAAGCAGGAGCCCTGCTCGATTACTTGAAGCGTCATGTGATCACTATATGTCATGATAACAGAGTCAAGCAGGTAAACTTTAAATATTTAGCCTTTGAGATTTTTTATTTATTTATTTTTTTAAACTAAACAGTTGATTTACTAGGTTTATACATTTTGCAATGAAGGAAATCCACAATTTAAATACTTGGTCTTGAAATAGGAAATGGAGTTGGGTCCGGATTAAATACACTCACATTCCGGATCTGGACCGGAGTCCGGACTTTGAGAAGCACTGCCGTATAAAATGCAGGCCTCCACATAATTCATTTATTTTGTCCTAACACAAACTGATTAAGTTAACTTAACACATTTAAGTGCATTCAATATAAAACAATTAAGTTGTCCCCCCAAAAAACGCAATGCTTGTATTGTTTCAGCTCATTTTAAATAAGTAGTTTGAACAAACAGCAAAATCTTCTTTTAGTGAAAGCAGTAGATTTTTCAAACAGTGTTTTCTGTTTTTAAGTACACTTGTTTGTGATCAGTCAAAGCATCATTAAAAACAGTAATGACATTTTGTCTGATTTCTTTCCCCGAGGTGGAAAGAGCATTGAAACAAGTGTCAGGCCATGTCCTGGGCAGTGTTACACACCCTGTGCTAGTTATTGTTTAATTTGCCTTG